AGCTGATCCTGCCACGATAATTACTAATTAATCTTCGTTAGACTTTTATTATAAAAAATAAGCTCTGGACCCCACCACAATAATAACGAATAACACGATGAATAAGACAGCCTTTGATCCTCCACCGTCCGATCTGGATCGAACGCCCACCATTCAAAACATTAAAATAAACATTTTTTTCAGACCACCAACAACCAGATCTTGATCTCACATTAATATTCCCGTTGAGCGTTCTTTATTTGTAGAAAAGCGTCGTCTTCAGGGAGTTGAAATTTGTACCTCTTCGATCTCAGGTTAGGGTTTCTTCACTCGCTCGATCTCAAAATTTCTTCATCATTTTTTTTTTGTATTTAATTTTCTTAATTGAAGTTTTTTTCTTCTATTTGATTTGCTTCGATTTACCCCCATCTGTAACCGATTTTTGGGAAAATTGATGCTTGGGCATATGTATTTGATCTAGAAAAAATAATCTAAATAACGAGCCTTTGGAGTAAATAAAGCAATTTGATCATATTAGAGGATGAAAGTGAGTGTCACTGGGGCAATGAGGACTATAAGGGTGTTATGAAGTTATCTTGCCCAAGAAATCTGTAAGCATTTGTGTGCATGTTGGCAAGCGGCAACCAGATTATATTGCTGATTAGGAAAGTTGGAGGAATTGGTATAGTTTTCAGTAATTGGTATTTAGCTATGGGTTTTTTGTATATTATTAGTCCCCCGTATCTTTCATATTTTGAAATCAGTCCCTCTGTTACATTTTCCATCCAAAATTTTAAACACGGTTGGGTTTGGTTACCCGAGACTGGTACATACCCAATCCTTCATTTATCTTAATTTCACCGTCACTTCTCTGGCCGGCAAGCCCATTGGCGGGATGTAAGCCCTGAGACCCATTGAGTGTCATACGTGGTTTGGCTCAATCCGCTATCGAAATTAACTAGTCAATGTTACAAGGGCTGGTTCTGAGATTTTAGGGGCCCTGTGCGAAAAGTAAACACAAGCCCTTCTCTATATACAAAATATCAATAATTTTCAATTTGAATCCCTAAAATGCTAGGGAAAAAATATTACTGATCAGACATTAAAATATTACCTGATTTTTTTACATCTGGATAGTCTTTAACATACTTTTCAAGTGCTATTGTCCATTCTTCATCTCTTCGGTCACCTGAATAAAATGTTACTGATTAGATAAATGCATGTAATCTCATCTTAATAAAGCTTTCCAATAGAACAAATAGTCCACAATAAGAAATACTTGCATATTATGTTCCTTTTGTATCTGTGCTTACCTTCATAAGAGACATCAGAGCCTTTAGCATCAAAAAGTATCATCGAAAAATTGTCCTCCTTGCATTTTTAGCTGCAAAATCATTAATTAAGCCTTTAACATCAATTTTATCTATAAAATTATTTTCAATGGATATCAAAGCTAGCCCATTTAGTCTTTCTTGTGACATGGTCGATCTCAGATAAGATTTTAATAATTTTAATTTTGAAAAACTTCTTTCTGCAGATGCGACTGTAACAGGTATAGTCAATAATATTTTATAAACAATACATGCATTTGGAAAACAATTTCATATTTTTAAAAATTTAAAAAATTCAGTATATCAATAGCCATCTTTGTTTCTTTTGGTAAAATATTTCGTAAGATTTTTAGTTCTCCAAATAAATCTTTCCCATCAAGATCAGAAAATGTTTTATATTTTAGAACAATTTCAAGATTATCACAACATGCTTTTAAATTATTATCATCTAATGAATTTAACTTTTCTGAACCAAACAAAAATCCAAAAATATCTTCATATGCTTTATATTGCTCAAACCTTTTCTTTAGTGAACCAATAGCTTGATCTACAATATACAAAAAAATAATTGATTCTAAAAGATTCTTCAGCTGATTGTGTTGTATCCTCATTAACATTCTCATCAAATTGTCTTTTTCTACGGATTTGACGTTTTACTTGAAATACAGAATCAATTTTCATTTCAGTTGCAATTTCTTTAGCAATTGTCATAGCTTGTGTGAGCTTAACTTCTCTATAATCCTCAAAAAACCTAATCAATCCTTTTACTTGATCTATAGCAATATCTATAAGCATGTCTTTAAATTGTAAAAATTTGCTAATTAAGTTAACAGCAAACAATATATCATACCAAATAATCATACTTAATAAAAATTCAAAATTTCTAATTCCATGCGTTGCTAAAGAATCTGCTTCACTTCTTATTTTAGAGTCATTATCAGTTTCTGCTAACTAAAGTAGTGCTTCTCTTATTTTAAGCGTTTGAAATCTAATTGCTTTAACGCTTTTAATATGGCATTCCTAACGTGTAGCCGACAATGGCTTCACAGTTAAACCTTTTATATTATTTATCAAAATTTGCCATTGCTTTGTTGAGTGAGAAAATAATGTATAAATACGTTGTATCACTCCAAAAAAGTCTTTTGCTTTACCACAACAATTTGCCATATCATAAAGTGTTAAATTAAGACTATAACAACCACAAGGCGTGTATAAAGCTCTAGGATTTATATCAAGTAATTTTCTTTGTACACGTTGGTGTCTCCCTTTCATATTAGACCCATTATCATACCCTTGACCTCGTACATTATCAATATCAAGATTAAGAGCTTTTAGCATATTTTGCAATTCTTCAAAAAGTCCTTGTCCAGATGTATCATTTACTTTTAAAAATTCTACAAAAAATTCTTCTATTTTTATCGGGCTTGTAGAAATATCGACACATCGTAATATTAAAGTCATTTGTTCTCGGTGACTTGCATCTGGAGTACAATCAAGTATTACTGATGCGTAAATCAAGCCAAGTACTCATGTTAATGATGTGTTCATTAGTTGTTTCATGTTCTTTAAGCCTAGCACTAAGATGTTGCCAATCATTAAATCCTTCATTTATTAAAAAACTTTTCTTAAAACCATTTTTAAACAATTTACAACAAAAACAGAATACTTTATTGATATTCTTTGAATAAACTAACCATTCCCTATCACATTTCTCTCCATTTGATAAATACCTAGTGTAAAATGCCAAAGAAAAACATCTTCCTAATTTATCTTTAGGACCTTTTTCGACTAATAGATCTCTTATAGGGCTATTTTCAAGTAATATATCTCTAGATTTTGTGTCCAAATTATACCAAGTTCTTGGATCATAAATATTCAAATTCATGAGCATGGACTGATTAGGTTGTTCATTGCCTAAAATATTTTCATTTTCATTTTCATTTTCATTTTCATTGTCAATATCATTTTCATTCTGATTCTGATTCTCATTTTTACTTTCATTTTCATTTTCATTCTAATTCTCATTTTCATTATCATTTTCATTTTCATTCTGATTCTCATTTTCATTGTCAATATCATTTTCATTCTGATTATGATTCTCATTTTTACTTTCATTTTTATTTTCATTCTGATTCTCATTTTTATTCTCATTTTTATTTTCATTCTGATTCTCATTTTCATTATCATTTTTATTTTTACTTTGATCATCAACATTTTCATTATCATATTCATTCAAGCCCAAATCATTAATGTTATCATTTTCAATTGAATTTTCAACTAAATCTTGTGTTTCTCTAACAATGAATTTATCAAGCGCTCCACTTTGAGTTTGGACAAATTGTTCAATTTTTCTTTTTTTCTTGCGTTTATCATATCCAGAAGGATACTTTCTTAGAGGCATTTCTATAATAAAATAATAAATACTACAATCAAATTGAAAGAAGCCGAAAGATTTGGAACAATACAACCTGACCGAGACTTCTTCGACGATGTGTCTCCAACTCTCCTTGATCCCTGAAGTTTAAGAGCCAAAAAGTTTATTAGGAACCAATTTAACAAATCTTGCAATAACAAAAAGAATGGGCGAAATAAGAGTTACTTCTGGTCATCTCAGTTAAGTTTAACGATTCAGAAATAACCACCTATTAATCACTCCCGACCGAGACTTCCAGTCATGACAACAAACATCAGACTAATAATTCTAGCAAAATAGCACATATATGTTGTGTTCACAAGTACAGTGTGAAAATTAATTTACGGACTTACAGTGTACACATTAAAAATCTATTTGCACTCAAGAAAGTGAAAGACTTATTCTTTATCAATTATTAGAAATGTGGTTGTACACTCATCAATACTCAATAGTAATTTGATCCTGCACTATCGAAATTAGGGATTTTTTTTGCAAACTAAAAATTACAATATTGATGCAAATTTTGAAAGAAAAAAAAAACAAAAAATTGCTTTAAGTTATAAAGTTAGAAAATTGTACATACCACCTCCAATCTGGAGAGTTACCTACTTATCCTCGAGGGTTTGGCGGCGGCGATCGTGGGCAGCATCGAGTGAGGTTCGGCGTGTGACGAGAGGCGAGGTCTGGCGATCGTGGGCAGTGAGCGATCGTGATTCGTAGGCAGCGAGGTTTGGTGGCGATCGTGGGCAGCGAGCGAGGCGTCTCGCGATCNNNNGGTGGCGAGGCGAGGCGAGCGGCGAGGTCTGGCGACGAGGCGAGGCGAGCGGCGAGGTCTGGTGATGGCAATCGCGGGGGTCTGTGGCGAAAGAGAGGAGGAGATGGTCCAGACGGAGGAGAGGGGGTCGGTGGATTTTAGGGGGCTGAGCTTTTGGGATTGAGGGTTGAAGCCTTGAAGGGATTTTAGGGTTTTTGAATATGAATGAACGGCCGAGATTCAATTGAGAAGTAAAATGAACGGTAGATATTATAGGTGAAGGGATATTTTGGGGCCCCCAATTTTTTGGGGCCCTGTGCGGTCGCTCATTTTGCACAGCCCCAAAGCCGGGCCTGAATGTTACACTTAACTCTAAAGACCCCACATTAAACCTTCCTAAACTCTATCAATTTCCCGACGTAGGACTTAGTGGGGCACCGCAACAATCACTGTTGGATTTGAGATGCAAGCCTATAGGGGAGGGGGTGAATAACATTGCTATCATTTTCCTCCAAGAACACAGAATATGCAGTGGAAAAAGATAAAATAAAAGCGATCAATGATAATCAAACATAAATAGCAACCAACCAAGAACTCACAAGATTTTATAGTGGCTCGGAATGCAATTCTATATCCACTCTTCCTTCTCGCTAAGGAGTTTCCGCATTATGCAAAGAGTTCTCCTAAATCACCAACCCGATTTTGTTGGCTTACAGGACCGCATCCTAAAATTTAACCGAAACCAGTCATCTAGCCTATTTTTTTCACAATGAGTAACACCTAGCTTTAGCTAGTCCTAACCCTCAAATAATCCCGGCTTCAGCACGCCATAAAAATAAGTTCAAAGTAAAACAGAAGACAAACAATTAAAGCTCAGAATATCAGAAAGATCTTACAGCCCTTTTGTTAGACAAACCGTCCTTAGATGAATATAAGCATAGTTCAATGAAGAATGGTGTAGAGAACCAATCCAATGACAACTCTCACTGAAACAATCTGAAGATGTTGTGCATGATGAGTAAGAGTTTGATGACGCTCCCGGGTTCTAATCCTTCAATGAAATCTCTCACAAATAAACCCTAGAACTCTCATCTTCTCTCTCTCTTTCAATGATATAGATTCTCCAATAGGCCGGAAAGAGATATCCTAAACTTCGTAGAGACTGGATATAGAAGAAATGAAGAACGAATGAGATTAAATCTGAAAATTCTGCAATCAGCATGTTTACCATCGATGGTGGCTCTTGACCGTCGACAGTGTCGAGGCCCATTAATGATATGAAAGTGTCTAGAGTAAAAGTAATTGATGATGTTGTTGACCATCAATGAGCTTTTTCTACCATCGATGATGGATGCCTACTATCAATGGCGTCGAAATCAACTTTCGAGCTGATTTTCTCGTCGTTTTTCCTCATTCACTTCTTATACTTGTATTTACGTGTACTATATCATCTCAAGCAAATACTAGTACCAAATGAGTGTTTGTTATTACCCAAACAAGAGATATTATATAGACTACGTCCTAACACACCCACCTTTAATACGTAACATCCTCATGGCCGATGTGGATTCTTGCTATGTGGATTCTAGAGATGACTCTCACCACACTCATGTAATGTAACACTTAGTACCGCATAGCACTTAGTTCCACACTTCTGATCAACATACTGCTCTAGTACCATTTGTCACGTCCTGAGCTCCAAGCCCGTTGGCATGATGTAAGAATTGGGCCACTGATTGCATCACCGGTTTGGCTCATTCTACTATTAAAATTGACTAGTCAATGTTACACTTGACTCTCAAGACCTATCATTTAGAACCTCATAAACTTTATCAATTTCTCGATGTGGGACTATTCGTGGGGCATCACATCCGGAGCCAATCATAACATAGTTGCTAACAGAAGAGAAAATTGATTTATCATCCATTTTTAATTAAGATACTATTATTATTGGTGCGTTTTTGTTTTTAGTATTGGATTTATTGATTTACTTATTTGTGTTCCAAGTAGAGTTAGAAAATTTCGAAAGTAGGGTGAGAGCATCTCTTAATGACACTAATCCCATAAATACTAGCATCAGTAGGGGACTCCGGATTACATGCTTCCCTAGATAGCATGATGCAGACATGTAGGATATACCACTCAGTCTCTTTTTGTATTTGACACTTGGTGGGTTTCAATTTGTTTCCTTTTTAAGAATTTATTTGGCACATAACCAAAAGAGTAATGAACACCTTGTTTAACTCTTTTTTTTTTTCATGAAATGACTATTAAGTCATTGGGATTAAACTGCTAATTACTGCATATTCATTTCATTATTTGCTGTCTTTGGTGGTTTACCTACATGAATTGTCAAAATGTGTTACTTTCATTTTGCATCAATATATGCTTGGAATGATGGTGCCAGCTTGATCAGGTAGGCTGGATAAAGATGTCTGAGAATGGATTTGACAATGGGGAGATTGATACTTTGAATCATAGCCTCGCCGAGAAAGATGATACAGTAAGCCCTTATAATTCAAGCAAGCTGCTTTAGTACTTAATGCAATCTTTTACAAGTTTCATGGTTTAATTTCTGCATCATAATTCAGATGGTGCTATCAGATGGATCCTATTCATAGAATTCAAGACACATATAGCGGACGTATTAAAGGTTAAATAAACATTTTGAAATAAGACATGAAAGAATGCTGGGAAGGATTTGTATAATAACTCTATGCATATGTATTTCCCGTCATCGTTTCTTTATTGTGGTACTTAGGTCAAAGTTGGTGTCTGCACTTATAAGTTAACTTGTAATAAAGTATATTATTCTTACAGTTTGTCCCCCCACCCCTCTCATGTTTACAGCAAACTTTCATTGTGTCATCTATGATTTACCTTTTACGCTTTATTATTATAGGTTAATGTTGATCCTGGACAACCGGCATTTTTAACATGGAAACGAAATTTAAGCGATCAGGGACATGAACTGGCAGAATTTACTCTGAATTTTAGAGAGATGCTGGAGTTGGTAATTTTCAAATGCCAGATGCTTATGTATCTTTTCACAATTAAGCTTTTTTTCCAGGTTGATTGTTTTTCATTTAATTATTTGATACACTATTCGTATAAGGAAATGGTCATTTTTTAGCAGTTATCTGAGATATTTGATTGATTTCATGTTAGCTGGCAGACACTATAATCTCTTTTCAGCACCATCTTGCATTCAGTTCTTTTTCTAGTCAGGTTTGCAGATTTTTATGGTGTATGGTCTATAGAATAATTGTCTGGTGATGTCTTGTTCTCATCCACTAAATTAGTTGAAGGATTGCGAGTTTTTTGTTGGAGGTATTTATCTCTCCATGAGGACCACTATTGAGGATTTAAGTGTGTATCCCACATTGGAAGAATTATAAAAGGGCGTCGATGCACTTTAATAGAAAGCTGGGACCAATTTCTAACAGTCTCAGATTTTGGATTAATTTGGTTTCAAACTCTGTTTTAAGGCTGATTAAATTCTGAGAGGTATCTGTTTACTCTCCAACAATATCATCATGCTTTTCCAGAAGTTAAGTACTTGTTATAATTGTGTGCATATATGCACAAAATAGCTCACAGTCAATAGTATAATCGCCAGAAAATAGAAGCCTTTTCTTGAATTTATCTTATGATCTGGAAACAAGATTCATATTACCATTACCTATCAGAAAATAATAGTATGTATGCATGTAACTTGTCTCTAGTTCTTTTCTTGGTTGGTTTGTTTATTTACTTACTGATTTCTGGCAGGCTCCATTAGGCCTTCGTTTAGGGCGACATCTCATACAGGAAATGGCACAAGGAAGGGTATTTCCTTAATTCATGAGAGAAAAACTTTTGGCAACATTCCGTTATGATATTTCCTTTTCCCCACTTTTTCAAAATACTTGCTTTTGGATCTTTATTTGACGTCTCATGGAAATTGTTTGTCCTTTTCCAGGATATAGTAATCGATCCCATAAAAAAGAATTGCACAACGTCTTGTCAAGGTGTTCCATTGGGTGGCATCGGGTGGGCCATGAAACTCTTTTACTATATTTTCAATATAACTGCTTAGCTTGCACTCATTATCATAAGAATAGAAACAGCAAGAAATGTAATTTAGGTAACTATTCATAGCTATCCATTTTTTGTAATACTTGTAGACAAACTTACGATTCTGGTTAAATATCTACAGTGCACACCTTTCACTAGTAGAACTGGAAGGAAAGAAGTTTGTTACCTACTCCCGGCCTGTATGGCTTGCAGTGCTATGCTGTATCTAGATACTGTAGTTCTACATAGCCGACTATATTACATTCAAATATGACATTATATGCTAAGCTCAAAACAAATGAATGACTAGCAACTTATTTTAGAAAAATATAGCAGGTAAGCAGGAGAGAAAATTACTTTTAAGGATGGAAAAATTCTCAAGGAAACTAACCAAATTCAAGACTAAGAGCAAACAATTACAATGATAGTTTCGTCATTGATAGTTAATTAATGGAAATGTGCTCAGTGGACTCTCTTTGTGTATCCTACCCTTTGCTTTTGGAACAGTTTGTTCACCCTTTATGTTTTCTATTTTCCCTTTTTAACTGTTTTATTTTGTTTTTTATCCATAAGATGCCGTCACTTGTACTCTCAACTCTGGAATTAAAACCACCAGTGCAGGCAGCATCGGAAGAAGCTATAGAGGCGACTTTCAACGATGGCAACTGTTTCCTGGAGTACGTGAAGACAAATCTGTCTTAGCAAATCAATTCTCAGTGAGTGTGAAGCCTTTCATTTAACTCAATTAGTGCCAGATTAAATGAAAAAAGATCTAGAATAATAAACCCCGTGATACTTAATTAATTTTATTTTGGCTGAAGTCTCGAGGCTTCTTTTTCAACCATCTTATCACAGACAAGAATCTCGATTCTTTCCTATGATTCACCTGATGCCATTTTACTGGATAGGTTTTCGTTTCACGCTCAGATGGTAAAAGATACTCGACTGTACTCTCCCCAGGCAACCCGAAAAGGCTCAAGTAAGAATTTTTTTTCATACACCTCCTGTATTTTTTATATTCATGGAATAACTCTGCATATTTGGTAGAGAGGAGTTCAGGAGTGTTGGTATTTGGTAATAAATGTTTTTGCTTGTGATAGATAAGTCGCAGGTCTAAGGATGCCTCCTATGTAAGTGGATCTAGAGGAGAGAATTGGGATCATACACATTTGACTTAAACTTTTAATTTTTATTGCTACATTATCAAGGATGTAAATCAACTTATATCTATATTCATATGCTTCTTGATGTTTCCAGGGAAAGTTCCGTTTCAGGAATTGGCTCCTGGGATTGGAACCTGAATGGGAAAAATTCTACCTATCACGCTCTGTATCCAAGGGCTTGGACCATTTATAATGGTAAACATTATTTTCAAAGAGTTGATTCCTGACTTCTATAATTGTTGTGTTATGGCTGTTATATTAGCTGTTATGTGTTTACCAATGCAGGGGAACCTGACCCGGAGTTAACAATAACTTGCCGTCAGGTTTCACCTTTTATTCCCCACAACTATCAACAAAGTAGTTTACCTGTTGCATTATTTGCATTCACGGTAGGTCCTTCTATTATCATGTACTTTGATAATTACAAGACTCGTTGTTGAGAAGTTGCTTTACAAACTGTGACAAATTTCAGCTTACCAATTCAGGGAATACTGCTGCAGAAGTAACTTTGCTCTATTCATGGGCGGTAAGTCTAAGTGCTTTAACTTTCTTCTTATACCTCAACCTTTTCACCATCTAATTGCGTCTTTGTTGTGGACACTACAAAGATGCTGGTTACACTTCAGGAAATTTAATTGAATACATTTGTTCCAATCTAAAATGTTGAAACGAACCATGTAACCTTTTAGTTCTCATGTTCTATTTTTTGCAGAATTCCGTGGGTGGGAATTCTGAGTTTTCTGGTTATCATTCAAACTCCAAGATGACGTAAGTCCAAGTGTCCAAGAATACAATTTCCTTATTATCTTCATAGCTGTTACCCTTCTTCTTATAACTGAGTTAAAACTGACACTCTTTTCTGATAATTTAGTGAAAAAGATGGTGTGCGTGGAGTTCTTCTGCATCACAAGTGAGTTCAACTCAAATTTTGACCATGCCCATTTCATGCTAGCACCCAAGTGTCAAATTTTTTTTCACCCAAGAGTAACAATTCCTTACAATCTTCATGCTAATTTCGTACTAAGGAATAGTGTTAAGCAATGTTTATATGCATGCAGCACTGCAAATGGGCAATCACCAGTAACATTTGCTATAGCAGCACAAGAAACAGCTGATGTGCATGTCTCTGAATGCCCTTGTTTTGTGATATCTGGAAATTCAGTTGGATTCACAGCAAGTGATATGTGGCATGAAATTAAAAAGGTTGTTCCATTTGTTGATTTCCCCACATTGCAGATTCTTCTTGATATATAAAAGTATTCCTCTTCTTTCATGTCAACATCCTTGTGAAATTTAATCCAAGCACAATCCCTTCTTTTAATACTGTCTTCTTCAGCATTTCAGTTCTCATGAAAGTCCCACATGCTAATATGAAAAGAACTTATCCGTTTCTACACCAATTTGAAAATGTGGTGGTAAGCCTTACAAGTATAGATTGTAAGTATAGATAATAGGAAAATCCGAAGATGTGCGTAAAGCCCTTGCAAAAAGATGGTGATTGCAATTTTGATATGCCTGATATGTCGAAAGGATGTGAAATAGCCTGAACCTGACACCTCAAGTGCTTTTTCTAACATTCTCAATATTATCAACCTATCAAATTATATATTAAGTATTAACCTCCTGTGCCACATGACATGACAACTCATATATAAGGTTATCCAAATTAGCACAGGAATTATATTACCTTTTCAGCTGCTAACTAATATTGCAAGCAGTACTAGATGTAAGCGCCAAATGCTATTGTTATGCTGTCATGCCCACATCACCTTGCTTAATCATTATGTGCCACTTTATTCTATTTATTTATCTAGTCGATTTCCATGTATGCTCCACTCACTAATTCCTGTTATCAAAATACAAGTGCAAATGTAGCAGTTAATACACTACTTCTTAAGTTGAAGTGAAATGTTATTTTGTTTCTTAATTTTCATAACTTCTGCTTGATAAGTTGCTATATGTTTTATCTAATAGCATGGGTCCTTTGACAACCTTGGTTCGACCGATAAAATTATGCATTCGGAGCCAGGGTCATCTATTGGTGCGGCTATAGCAGCTTCTGTGATGATTCCTCCTCAAGCTGCTCATACTGTAAAATTTTCTTTGGCATGGGCTTGCCCAGAAGTAAAGTTTCCTAGTGGGAAGATTTATCACAGGTAAAGGGAGCTATTCAAGACTGAATAATTTCGTTAACAAGGCTAATTATGGTGCTCATGCTGGCATAATTCATTACATCAGACGTTATACCAAATTTTATGGGACTGATGGAGATGCAGCAGCAAGACTTGTACATGATGCCATAATAGGTAATTACTTATAATCTTATCAAAGTACATATCAATCTTTTAGTGATTCTGATGAGCCTTTACTTATTCTAGATAATTTCTTGATTATTCCACTTACTATTTCTGTTTTCTTTTTCTGAAAAAATTTAGGTAAACATTTTGAACTGAATACAAATAAATATTGGTGTACAGTACACAGTTTATATGAGATATGGATAGCCTCACTGCTTTAGTTTATATTGAATGATAGATATATATATATTATGTATTTGAGCAAAATTTAATTGATTTTGCTGATGTTAGCTTTCTGATACTTCTACATGCATACATATTTTGATGCATCAAAGAGGGACCTGGCTGACGTGATGGTAATTTTAAGCTTAACCTGTATCACCAAAACAGAAATGTTAGTGAAAGTAAGACTTTTCACACCACTAGTCCAGAATCCGAATTGAGTTGAATGTATTCAAACTGGAGCAAGCCCTAGGACTGGAAAGCTAGTGATAGGTGGGGAATTTAACTCTTCTGATGTTATTTAGTTGATTGTTTAGTTTCTTGATTAACCTAGTTAACTTGCTAGACTAATCTAACTATTCTCCATTTGTTTTAACCCATGTTTGATATTTACAAAATTGTAAACTGCAAACTCGTATACTAGTTGGTGCGTGTCTTTTGATTTCTTTTGAGAAAATACTAACTATTTTATCAATCATTGCACCAAAATTAGGTTCTGACATATAGGAATAGCAGCAAAAATACCTAGCTATATGAGAGCATACATGTATTCAAAAGACATATAGATTTTCTTATTGTGTCTGAAAATTGGACAATCGCTGTGCCCAAATATTTATATTTATAGGATGATTTGATAAGTAATTTACTAATGATTTGATTTCTTTTTACTTCAACTTAAGAACATCAAACGTGGGAATCCCAAATTGAAGAATGGCAAAGACCAATTCTACAAGACAAAAGACTTCCAGAATGGTACAATTTTGTTAACCTGATTGCTTAGTAACTTACTGGCAAATAATATGATTGAAGTTTGAAAGTTCTTGGCAGGTATCCCGTCACTCTTTTCAATGAGCTCTACTATCTCAATGCTGGAGGGACGATATGGACAGGTTTTGGCATCTCTTTTGATCCGTTAGAAGGTATTATTAACTTGATAAATTAAAATCGCTATGTCTTTATACAGACGGGTCATCACCGCTACATAGTCTGACAGCAATTGAAGAAAGAAAGTTTTCCCTCGATAAATCAAATTTTGATCGTGGAAACTTAGCTAAAGTCATTCCAGAAAACAATACTGCAGCTGACATCTTGGACAGGATGGCATCAGTTCTTGAGAAAATGCACACTCCTATCGCATCAAATTCTGGCTCTGTAACATTATTGCTTGAAGACGATGAGCATATTGGTCATTTTCTCTATCTTGAAGGGATTGAGTATCTAATGTGGAACACATACGATGTTCATTTCTACTCATCTTTCGCACTCTCCATGCTATTTCCAAAACTTGAGCTCAGCATTCAGAGAGACTTTGCTCGAGCAGTAATGGTGCATGATCCTGAAAAGGTTAAACTTCTAAGTAATGGCAAGTGGGCTGCTAGAAAAGTTCTAGGAGCTGTTCCCCATGACCTCGGGCTATTCGATCCATGGTTCAAATTAAATGCTTATACACTTCATAACACAGATAGGTGGAAAGATCTAAATCCTAAATTTGTTCTGCAAGTTTATAGGGATATAGTAGTCACTGGTGATAAGTCCTTTGCACGAGAAGTTTGGCCAGCAGTCTATACTGCCATGGCTTATATGGATCAATTTGATAAGGATGGAGATGGAATGATAGAAAATGAAGGATTCCCTGATCAAACTTATGATGTTTGGTCAGTTACAGGTGTTAGTGCATATTGTGGAGGACTTTGGGTGGCAGCTCTACAGGCTGCTTCAGCTATGGCACGCGAAGTTGGCGACAAAGCTTCAGAAGCAATGTTTTGGGATAAATATGAGAAGGCAAGATTAGTATATATGAAACTATGGAATGGTTCGTACTTTAACTATGATGAAAGCGATGGAAAGACAAGCTCGTCTATACAGGCTGATCAGTTAGCTGGACAATGGTAACTTTCTGATAGATTTTATAGTTTAGATTTGAGACAAATATATTACTTTCTTATTAAGGTGATTCTTGACAAAATTTAATGCTTGTTTTATTGTTCTACTATCAACCAGAGTACACTATATATTTGCTATCTTATATGCTACTTAGAAGCAATTTACTGAATTACAGATTAGCATAGTCAGATCACTACTAATCAACTTATCCATAATTCATTGCATGTGCATTTGGTCATCCATCATCTTTAAGGTACGCTGCAGCGTGCGGCCTAAACTCAATAGTTGACGCGGAAAAAGCGCAAAGTGCTTTTGAAAAAATTTACTCTTTCAACGTCCTCAAGTTCAAGGATGGAAAAGGTGGCGCAGTTAATGGGATGAAACCAGATGGTAATGTTGATTTGTCTGCAATGCAATCGAGAGAGATATGGCCTGGAGTTACATATGCTGTTGCTTCTGCTATGATCCAAGAAGGTATGGTTGACATGGGATTCAAAACTGCTCAAGGCGTCTATGAAACTGCGTGGTCTGAGCAAGGGGCCGGGTAAGTCAGATTTTCCTTCACTAACTGTGATATGTAATCACCTTTAAAGATAGCACACAGTTACAACATTATGTTTCTTTCTATTTATAACTCCCAGTTTATTTATTTATTTATTTATTGCTACAACATCAAAGATCTTCATTAGCAATGGATCATTTAACCAATGTTGAAAATAACGATAACGTACAACGTAATACTCTACCTCTTGTTAAGGGTTAAAGGAAAAAAAACATAATGTATAACGTAAGTTATTTTGTCTGTTACTTATTTACATAGTTTATGGATACAAACTATTCATCATGACTTCAATAACTAGAATCATCAAAATTTCGAAGCATAACATCATTATTACAAGCAAAATATTTTCTTACTATTTAATTAAATTAAAAATATAAAAACTATTTGTAATAATTTTAAGAATTAAGAACAATATATCCTGATACAAAATATCTTAATAAAAGATATGGCTTTAGTAGGAAGTCTCACAACTGAATACTCAAATATATAATCATAAATTTATAGTTCGTTCATAATTACATTCGTTTTATAAGTCATATTAATAATTTCACAATCACATATTGATGTCCCAAAACGAGACATGAAGACTTTGTTGGGGATTATTGGAGCACATAAGCACCGCACACAATATGGATCACAAGCAACAAAACTACACCAAGGGTTTCTTACGTGGTTCAACAAAACTTGTCTGCATCCACGGTCTCTCATCCGCTATCGTCACAGACCAATACAACTAATATAATCGACAAAAGTTCTGCTTGGACAAACTTGAAAACCCTCACACATCTCACATCTCTCAAGGAAACTGAGAACACTGTTCATTCAAGAGCTCCAAGACCTACCATCATATCACGCATAGAACCCGAGAACACCGATCACTCGAGAGTTCTAAGAGGATCCTTCCTCTCACCCGGAGGATGACTTCCTTAGCACTAACACATGCCCTTTTATAGCCTTTCTCCTTTGCTATCTCCAAGGACAAATCAATCTTCATAATTGCTCTTGACAATTTCCAAGAGCAACTCTTCAAACTTCTAATACATGCACCCTTCAAACTTTTGTCGATTGTATTAGTTACCTGAAACCTTATCAAAGCTCCTGTTATATTCAACTAGATGATGTATTTTTAACTTTGTCGGTATTAGTTACCGGAAACTTTATCAAAGCTCCTGTTATATTCAACTAGATGATGTATTTTTAACTTTGATATTATCCAAAATTATCTTTAATACTTCATAATGATCTTTCCTTTTGATTCACTTGCAATGCTCACCAATTCTTCACTTTTTGATAGGTACTCTTTTCAAACCCCTGAAGCCTGGAATGCAAAGGGTGAATACAGGTCTCTCTGCTACATGCGTCCACTGGCGATATGGGCAATGCAATGGGCATTATCGCCTCCGAAGCTACACAAAGATGTTGAATCTGACACAAAAGAAGAAGCTAATCTAAAGCATCACATGTCATTCTCTAAAGTTGCGAAGTTACTCAAATTGCCTGAAGAAGAGCATCATAAAAGTATTCTTCGGGTTATCTACGAGATCACTTGTAATAGGCTGAGGTCTTAATGGCGGTTTCAAAGCCTTAAGGGGCTTACTCATCTACGTTGAATAAAGGAACTTGTATACTTATTTTGTGACTGCATTGATTGATTGTATGTGCATTATTACTGTAACAATAAAAGGCGGCATTGCTCTTTTTCTGGGTTTTATTTGTAAATTACATTGTCAAAGTACTTCGTAAATAAAAAGTTCTTTTTTCCTTTTTTCCGGCACATCCACGTACGTCTGGATGGCTAAAGTCAACATTGATGTGTCAGCGTTAACAAATATGGCTGTGACGAAAACTGAAAGTGATGTACTTGATGGGAATATGGTCCATCCCCATGATGAATTAATATGGATTTAATTCATGGAGAATTTGTGGTTGACTACATGCATGCATTGATAGATTGTCTTTCCCCGTGCATTGGGAAAAGGAATGACTAGTCTTTGGACTTCCTCATGCAATGAATGTGGTGTACCCAAGAGGCATATCCTCCCTATAAATAGATGGGAGATGGTGAATGTTGAAAACAAGAAGCAAGAACAAGAATCACATGTTGTGCGCAGCGGAAATTTCGGCAGAGTTTCTGGTGCACAATAAGAGAGAAAGATCGATAAGAATTCTTGTTTCTCAAAGGGAACAAGAATCTGAAGCCTAATATCCCATCAAAGTGGGATATTTGCTCTTCCTCTCGTCAGCTCTAGGACTGCGCGCCAAGGGATCCTAAAAACTATTACAATTGCCACAAACTCAAACAATCAATTTTACGTGTTTCCGCAAACTGCCTACGTCCACGGGGCAAGGAGGGGGAGATCTACTATTAGAGGGAGAGATACAACTAGGGTTTACAATCACTCAATCTAAACCCTCACACAATCTCTCAAACCTCTCACACAAATATCTCTCTCAAAAGTACAAAATGACTCTTTGCACGCCGCCCAAAAAGAACGCTGCCAACACTTTTGCACTTTGCTTCCGCAGCCGCCAAAACGCCGCTAAGAATAGAGTTCTCCCACCGCAAAAAACCTTTGCCTTTCTCCCAGCCGCCACAAAAGTTTCGTCCCCTCTGCTTGCTCACCGACCTAGGAATTGTTGAAAGATGATTATATAGCACAAAGGTGAAAGCGGGTGGGCCGGCCTCTTTGTCCACTGAACAAAACAAAAAACCGAAATCTCTTCATGTGGCTTCTCCAATCACGTGTCCTTCATTCACGTGATTGATTTAGCTTTGCTTTCACATGGGTGGACCCCACATAATTCACAATTCTCCACCTCGGTGAAGTTTTCCCAAAACTGAGCCGATACCGACCAAACCAAATGTCTCACTTGTTATGTCCAGTACACCGTGGAATAATTCACGACAACAGACTCAATCCATAACAAGTCGAGAACCCAAATGAGAATGCAAACACTCTCCAAATGTCAGTATCAACTCACCAAATCGATCTCACCCCATCAAAATCCAACCCGGCTGCATCTGAAAGACTGCCTACGTATCCTCTTGCCCAAGGAATCAAGCCGAACGTAGTTCACCAAAATGGCCGCGAACGACCTCAATCCAATAGAAGAGTTCGCAACCCTTCTCCAATATCATCAACTCTGCGGCTGATAGCACCTCCAATGGCCTTATGTAAGTTTCAGGGATCTACTTGCAAATTTTTAGGGGGTTTTGGCAAACTTTTAGGGGGGGTTTCCTACAAACTTTCAGGGGGTTTTTTGCAAAAAATTTAGGGGGTTTTTTGCAAACTTTCAGGGGGTTTTCTGCAAACTTTCAGAGGGTTTTCTGTAAACTTTTAAGGGTTTTTTGCAAACTTTCATGGGGTTTTATGCAAACTTTTAGGGGATTTTCTGTAAACTTTTAGGGGGTTTTCTGTAAACTTTTAGGGGTTTTTTTGCAAACTTTTAGGGGGTTTTTGGTAAACTTTTAGGGGTTTTCTGTAAACTTTCAAGGGATTTTCTGCAAACTTTCAGGGGGGGTTCTGCAAACTTTCAGGGGGTTTTCTGTAAACTTTCAGGGGGTTTTCTGTAAACTTTTAGGGGTTTTCTACAAAATTTTAGGGGGTTTTTTGCAAACTTTTAGGGGGTTTTCTATAAACTTTCAGGGTGTTTTCTGTAAACTTTCAGGGGTTTTTGCAAACTTTTAGGAGGGTTTTGGTAAACTTTTAGGGGTTTTCTATAAGCTTTCAAGAGATTTTCTGTAAACTTTCAAGGGGTTTTCTGCAAACTTTTAGGGGGGGTTTTACAAACTTTTAGGGTGTTTTCTGCAAACTTTTTGTGGGTTTTCTGTAAACTTTTAGGGGTTTTTTTACAAACTTTTAGGGGGTTTTTGGTAAACTTTTAGGGGGTTTTCTATAAATTTTCAGGGGGTTTTCTACAAACTTTCTGGGGGTTTCTGCTAACTTTCAGGGGGTTTCTGCAAACTTTTAGGGGGCTTTCTGTAAACTTTTAGGGGGTTTTCTGCAAATTTTTAGGGGTTTTCCTGTAAACTTTCAGGGGGTTTTCTGTAAACTTTCAGGGGTTTTATGTAAACTTTTACTGGTTTTATGTAAACTTTCAGGGGGGTTTTTACAAAATTTTAGGTGGTTTTCTGCAAACTTTCAGGGGGTTTTCTACAAACTTTTAGGGTTTTTATGTAAACTTTCAGGCGTGTTTCTGCAAACTTTCAGGGGGTTTTCTGTAAACTTTCAGGGGTTTTTCTGTAAACTTTCAGGGGGTTCAAAATCCATGAGCTATGAGCGTAATTGTTCATTTCTTCATATTTGTTGTTGGTTAAAGTCTATTATTTTTTTCATGTTTGTTCTTAATTACAGAGTGTCCCCAAGTAATTCTCCTTGAAATTTTTTTATCACGCCGGATAACAATACACGCTCTCTTTCTCTCCTGTTTCTCGCGCAATAGACACAAGTTTTGCAAATTACACTTGGCCGCACACGCATATATCTCCTGCCGACGAAGAATTGTGAGCGCCTACTTTTTATATTTATATATCCTTGAGGGTGTTTTTTGCAATTTTTAAAAGTTTGAGGGTGTTACTTGCAAATTTGATATTTATAGGAGACTACCGAAATTTTTTAGATTTCATGTTTCATTTGCATGTTTAGAAAATTCTAAGATTGTTTTGTAGTTTTGAACTCTTGAGGGTGCTTTTTGCAATTTTTAAACTTTGAGGATGCTTTTTGTAAATTATAAATTTATTGGGGGCTGCTAGTAATTTTTTGATTTCATGTGTCATTTGTAGGTTTTGAAAATTCAGGATGGTTTTGTAATTCTAAACTATGGAGGGTGTTTTTCTAAAAATTTAAAACTTTGAGGGTGTTAATCGCAAATTTTAAATTTATAGGGGACTATTGAAATTTTTTAGATTTCATATATCATTTGCAAGTTTAGAAAACTCTAAGATTGTTTGGTAATTTTGAAGTCTTGAGGGTGTTTTTATAATATTTTAAACTTTGAGGGTGTTTTTTGCAAATCTCAAAATTTTAAGGGGTTTTAGTCATTTTAAGTGTTTTCTATAATTTTTAACTTTTAAAAATAAGTTTTGTAATTGTTGAAGCGTTGAGGGTATTTTTAAAACAATATCCATCTAAACGGGTAAATGGGTGGGTAATAACCCGCCCATTAATGACCCATTTATCTTTAATAGAAACTATACCCACCCATTTATGACCAATTTAACTAAATGGGTGGGTTTGGATGGTTCATTTGGCGGGTGGGTATGAGTGGGCAATTGGTTTTGGGTCCATTTTGTCATCCCTAGCTGTGTCACCTCAGCTGGAATCCCAACCAATACAGAATGACCTGGAGTATGTGGGAAAATCCTCACCCAATGTGGAGTAGCATCAGTCTCCACCCGCTGTGATACCTCTAAGGTCTGTCCAAAACTGTCCACCTGCTAAGAGTCAATTGGCTTCCTTATCGAAGCCTCAACCAAAGTGACACTACCAGACCTATCTTCCAATAGAGTTTTACCTCCAATTACAGCAGTTGACAACTCTTTAATAAGATGACCCAAATATGTCGAAGCCTCTGTCCAGAAACTCTTCTGCAAACCATTGCTCGACCACAAACACCGATCCTCCTCCAGCAAGGCACGGTTCTCTGAATTTGTCACCCTATTTAGTTGCCCCAAGATTTTCTTTCCAACGAAGTGTCTCGAAATGCCGTGAGCTCGGCTCCAATACAGAAATAGGTCCATCTTGTACCTCCCACCAGAATGGAGTACCTTCACCTTTCTGTCTATCACACACTTCTTCAAACTGTTAGAGACTACTAGGACTTTATCCATCGGGGATTTGGTTGCAACCCAAACACGTCTAGAACAGCCACCAACAAAGGAAACCAAACGCCTATTACCTCCCAATGATGCTCCCTTGGAAGGCCCCCAAACATCCACGTGAACTCCTCCAGAACGACCCTTAGCACGGTGAATAGAGGTGCCACACTTCACCTCGGTCTTCTTGCTCACATCAACATGTTCACTGGACTTCAAACTGCAGGTCTTCGCACCCTCTTCCAATCTATGCGAGGAATCAATACTGGAATGGCCAAGCCCCAAATGCCGCAGTCTAGTCGAATCAACAGAAGTCGCCAGCTCTCCACCTGTCACTATACCTCCAGTCAAGTAATACAGGTTATTTCTCCTGACGCCCTTCATCAAAATACGAGAGTCTCTCGCAATCTCGAGAACCATGTCCTCAACACGAACCTTCAGACCCTCTCCAACCAAAGCTCCAATCGAGATCAAGTTCTTCCTCAAAGAAGGAACATATCTCACATCGTTTAACTCTCTAACAGTCCCGTCAAACATCTTTATGCGAATTCTTCCTATCCCAAGGATCTGGCATGCACGGTTATCAGCCATGTACACCACACCACTATCCACCAGCTTCTCAAAACTGGAGAACCATTCCCTTCTAGGGCACACATGATAGGTCGCACCACTATCCAACATCCATTCAGATTCCTCCGAATAGCTATCTGTAGGACTGATAGAAAGCGAATAAATAGAAGAGTCAGAATTATTACCATCCGATACGATGTTTGCTTCTGATGATGGTTGCTTCCCTTTTCCCTACCAGTGCAGCAGTGACCTCACTATACGAAAGAGATGTCTTCCCATTAATCAGAGTAAGGACGAAGGTCTCATATTCCTCGTCGGGCAAGGAACTCAACAACAGCAACGCCTTGTCCTCATCTTCAATCACGACATCCACATTCGCCA